ACCTGTGATGTAATAGATGTGTTTCTGGTTCTCCTTCATTCTTGTGCAATAGTCCTTGAGAGAAACCATCTCATCACCAGAAGCAGATGTGTAGTATCTTAACAGCTCGGAAAGCTTCTTCCGATTTTGAGAGTCTTCATGTATTCCAAGCTAAAAGATAACATTAATTTTAAAAAGACTTTTCCACATTTCCCACCTGTCAACGGGAGACCGTTGATTACTGCTAATGGTCAAATGTGTTTAGACCAACCTTAATATTTTTAGAGAACTGCTCATAAAACTTTTTGTAGTTCTCTTTATCTTCTGCCAGTTCAGTGAAGAGTTCTAAGCATTTTTTGACCAAATTCTTTCTGATAACTTTCAAAATTTTGCTTTGTTGCAACATCTCCCGGGAAATATTAAGAGGGAGGTCCTCAGAGTCCACGACACCTCTGATGAAATCTGACAAATGTAACAAGAAATGCACTAGGTTATTCCAAAGACAAAATTAACCAACACATAAACCCAAAAAACTGATGGTGAATAACCCCCCCACATGCTTAAGACTCTGTGGAGCCCACAGTATGAATTTCTCTAACCGGTGACAGTCCTGTTCTTTAGACCCGATTATACTTACTCAGATATTCAGGGATTAGCTCCTCGCAATTATCCATGATGAAAACTCTGCGAACGTACAACTTAATGTTGTTCTTTTTCTTTCTGTTTTCAAAGAGGTCAAAGGGAGCACGTCTTGGGACAAAAAGAAGGGCTCGGAATTCCAACTGTCCTTCAACTGAAAAATGCTGTAATAAAATGCACACGAAGTCAATCAATTTTAGATAAACACAGTGACAACTTAAAACCCTGTTAGGGAGGGGATGGGGGGCTAGGGGCTGGGATGAAAAAGCTGCCAATTACCACCCTCAACCGTCCCGACCTGGACAGGCCACCTAGCTCAGAAACACTCAGCAGTCACTCACCTTCACTGCCAAGTGATCTTCCCAGTCATTAGTCAAGCTCTTGTAGAATTCCCCATATTCTTCGTTACTAATGTCGTCAGGATTTCTGGTCCAAATAGGCTTTGTCTTATTCAGTTCTTCCTGGTCAATGTACTTCTCCTTAATCTTCTTCTTCTTTTTCTTGTCACCATCCTTCTTTTCTTCTTCTTCTTCATCAGAACCAACATCTTCTATCTCAGGTTTATCATCTGACTCCTTTTCTTCCTTCTCTTTCTCTTCCTCTTTGTCTTCCTTTTCTTCAGCCTCATCATCACTGACTTCTTTATCACGTTCCTTCTCCACCTGCAAAATATGACATAAATCATGTCACTCTGCATTCTAGAACTAAATAATTAGCTAAACTGAGTGCGCACTTTATTCCAAAGTCTAAATTAGCTGAGAGACATTAAGTACAAGCAGGACACTTGTCAATATTTGATGGATTTGTAGCCCTGGGTACCCTGACAGAGTAAGAACGAACTTCAGACTAGTCACTCCAATAACTACAATTTTGGGTCTTTCCCTTGCCAGATCTTCAAGACTAAGGGTTTTAGTTCAGTTACTCTGGTTATCTACATACAGGATACATAGAAACTCACAAAGAGAGTAATGGGGTAGCCAATAAACTGAGAGTGTTTCTTCACAATCTCCTTTATTCTTCTCTCCTCCAAGTACTCAGTCTGGTCCTCTTTCAGGTGCAGGACAACCTTTGTTCCACGACCCATAGGTTCCCCTAAAAGGGAAATAGGAAAACGAATTTAATTTCAATCTTAACAGTCAAGTCTAGGTAAAAAAAAATCACAATCTACTCAGCTCTGAACACCATACCCAGCATTTTTTTTTTTTACCAAGTCTGTAAGACAAAGCTTACTGTTTACTACAAATGGGAGCAGTCCCAGCACAGCGAATTGCCTTGCAAAGATAAATAACCACAATGCCACACTATTACTGCCACTAACTTGCTCCCAAACATCAATTCCACAGCATCCCCAGAGCTTACAGCTCCCTAACTCCACATGACTCACTCTCCCAGGAAACTATCCATCAGGTGCCTACCGGTGTCAGTCCTGACCGTGAAGGAACCGCCTGCAGAAGACTCCCAGGCGTATTGCTCATCATCATTATGTTTGGTGATCACGGTCACTTTCTCAGCCACCAGATACGCAGAGTAAAAGCCAACACCAAACTGGCCGATCATAGAGATATCTGCACCAGCCTGCAAAGCTTCCATGAACGCTTTGGTCCCAGACTTGGCGATAGTACCGAGGTTATTGATCAGGTCGGCCTTGGTCATGCCTATTCCAGTATCCACAATAGTGAGGGTGCGATCCTGCTTGTTTGGAATGAGGTTTATGTGCAGCTCCTTCCCGGAGTCGAGTTTACTGGGATCCGTCAAGCTTTCATATCTGATCTTGTCCAGAGCCTATCAGAAAAGACCAATTGTTAAACAGAGCCCCTAAGGGCTGCAGTTACACTGAAACCAAAACCCAGTTCTGCGTTCACAGGAGACTTACGTCTGATGAATTTGAAATGAGCTCCCTCAGAAAGATCTCTTTATTGGAGTAGAAAGTATTGATGATCAATGACATCAACTGGGCAATTTCTGCCTGAAAGGCGAACGTCTCGATCTCCTCCTCCTCCATTGGCTGGTCCTGGGTCTGGGTCTCCTCAGGCATCTGAAAAAGGACCCCGTGCCAGCGCGAGCCCCGCGGTCCGTCTGCAGCAGCAGCACTACGGGACCCGGCTGCGTCCCCCCCATCTTTTCAGCGCTTTCAAAAAAAAAAAACCCACGCAAAACTGTGTGATCCGAACACAGGAGGCCGGCCGACAAAGGGATGACCTCATTCCGAGTCGCGATAATGACAGGCGCGTGTGCACGCCTCGAGGAGGCCGAGCGCCAGCCGCTCGCACGCCGTCGCTAACGGGCGCCCGCCCCGCGCGGCTCGGCCGGCGGCGGCTCCACCGGGACGCTCCACGCCGGGGGCCCGGCCGGGAAACGGCCCTGCGAGAGCGGCCTTCCGCGGCGGAGAAAGAGGGCCCTGCCGCCGGGCGCCCCACGTCGCTTCTCCAGCGCATGGGGGAGACCCTGGGCCTCCCCGCCATTCCCAAAGCGGAGGTGGGGAAGCGTGTGAGGCCACAGCAGGCCCGAGGCCTTTGGGGGGAGCCCACGGGCGTCCCGGCCCCCGCCGACCAGGGGGCTTGACCCCGGGCCCCCGCTGCCCGCCGCTCTCCAGCCCGCTCAGGCCCTCGGAATCCCCCCGCGGCCCCACTCCGCCCCCTCACCTTGGGGAAAGGTTCGCAGGAGCTGCGCAGCAACTGGACGCACAAGCAACTGGCGCGCCTCCCCCGCGTCTCCCTTATATAGCGGCGGGCCCGCCCTGCGCGCGGCGCCTTTTCCAGAAGGCTCCCGAACCTTCCGGAAGAACCCTCCCCAACAGCCGTCGCGCGCGCCCGGGCGCCCGCCTCAGTGCGCCTGCGCGGCCCGGAATTCTCGGGAAGGTCTCGCGCCTTCTGGGCTGTCGCCCTGCCCCGCCCCCTCCTCCGTCCTGCGCCCGCCGGCCACCGCTGGCCGGGCCTGCGTACCCCACTCGGCGCGCGGGCGGGACGGCACCCCGGCGGCGGCCCGGGGCGTGGGGGCCAAGGGCCCGCGCTCGCGTCTCTGTGACCCCTAGGAAAGTAAACTTGCAATTCTTAGCGTGCCCTCGTAGTGTGTCAGCTGCGTGAGTTACACAGGAGACCGACGCTCAATGACATGCTGGCGCTCCTCGCGCCCTGTCCCGCCTCGGCCTCAGAGCCGGGTGCCGAGTCGGGGCCGGTGCCAGCGACCAGGGCCCGGGGCTAGCAAGGCCTCGAGGCCGTGGACACGGGTGAAGGGCAGCGAGGACGCGCCAGGCCACGTTCGGGGGCTTGGGGGACAGACAACCACTGGGAGTCCCGGGCCGGGGTTGGCTGTGCGGGACGGCATCTCTTCGCCTGGGCAGCGAACGTGGATTTAAGTCCCTGGAATTGGGGCAACAGGTGCCGACCAGGGCCTCGTTGTGTGGGGCCAGCCCATGACGAGTGTGGGGTGACCGCGACACGTGCACAGGGAGGCAAGCGGACCCCTGGTGTCCGCCTTCATGAGAGAGGCGCCGCGGGAGGTGTGTGGGTCATGTTTGGTCAAGGGGAGCCCCCCAACTCCGGGCCTCGTGGGGCTCCGGGCCGCCGGAGGTGGGACAGGGAGCAGGAGCGCCAGCAGGTGATTCTGAGGGTCCGCCCCACCTCCTAGGGCCCCCAAACGCAGCCACTGCCCGGAGTTCAGGGCTGGTCCTGTCCCCAAGTCCCACCGGGCACAGCGGACACCTACCTGGTCCCCAATTCCTCAAACCCAGGCGCACTCCCTTGGGGAGCCCCACTTGCCTTGGGTTTCCCTGAAACTACATCCTTCACACTTGGAGGGCCCCTTAGTCGGAAATTCCTGCGTTTGATGAACAAATGCGTCCTCCTCCAGCCACAGCCATCATGATTTTGTAAAGCGCATCCTTTTAACGTATTTTACATAATTCCAGGTATCCATATAAAGTATCTAATTCATGGCTCGCGTGATTAAATCGCGCCCAAACCCACTTTCTAAATGGGAATCCCCAAAGTGTTTTGAAAGTGGCATGTGAGAGATGTAAGACTCTGGGGTGGGGGGTCCTCAGCCTTCGCCAACTCAAACGCCGGGGTGTTTCCTGGGTAAGGAAACCTGAGCACCCCTCCAGCCGGCCGACGACTACCTAGTAACCCATCCCCCACACTGGCCTCCTTTGTCTCCAGCTCCTCCCCCTGCCCCTCCTCCTCCCCCCTACACACCGAGCCTTAGGGAACAATCTGGACGTTCCTTACGATGTAAACAAACCTGACGGAACGCTCCCTCCTCTGCCTTGTCTCCAGGGAAACCCAGCTTTTCCAAGAACCAGGGTTTTCAAACTGGGCCTTGAGACCCCTCAGCAGCGTGGGAGATCCACGCGGGCGACCTGGCGCTCGCTCGAACAGGAAAACTGGGATGGGAACTACCACCTACGTGTAGGGGTGGTGGGAATGGTTAGGCGTTTACCGGGGCACGTTGCGGAATGCATTTCTGACCCCAGCGGTGTCCAGATGCTCCCGGCCCGGCTGTCCCTGGGGCCTGGGCTAGGGTGTGGAGAGGAGAGGGCAGTTAATGCTGCAAGTTCTTTTTGGCCACTGTCAGCAATGGGGAGTCGCCACGCGGTGGTGGTGGTGGTGGTGGTGGTGGTGGTGGTGGTAGTGGTGGTGGTGGTGGTGGTGGTGGTGGTGG